TACTCCAAAAACTGAAAAAATGGTGATATCTCCTCCTGTTCTGAGGTCAATAACATCATAATTGCAGGCTCGGCAAGCATCTCTTTGCCTTATTGCCTCTATGACAAAACTTTATTGATGTTTGTGCCTCTACTCTTCATTTTCTTTGTCGCCAGCTGGAGCATTTCCCTTCTTCAACCAGAAAAGCTGTGGCAAAATGAAACTATGTCAACAATAAGTTTCAAGATGTTTAATAAATGAAGATAATTAGAAATTATTAGTGCTAGAAGAACAACAAAGGGCTGGTTAGAATAATATACATATATAAAAAACTAAAAAATTAACACTCCTGCAAAGGCCTTTTGGTCAAATACATTTTTTCATCCCTTTTTGCCACATTTGACCTCCTAATCCGAACCGAATAACTGTTGCAAGCCTCTGTTTTAACCTCTAACAACCAATCTACCTCCAGCTTAAGCATTTTATGTAACCTGGCAGAGCTACTGGCCCCTGCTGTGGCATCTCTCCCTGCAGGTGACTTGTTAAATTAGACAACGTACACCTGTGAGTGTTAGGGTTATGTTCACCAGCACATAGATGACATCCCTCTAGACTCTGATAAACGGATCCATCCAGAAAACCTTTTGTTCTATATAGAGATGTCAGGACCCTCTCAGCCCGCTGGCCAATATGTCCAATTAACATCAATCTAGTCGCCCACTCAGGTCGCCTGCTGTCAAAGCAGTGCTGAGTTCTAGTTACACACAGTGTCCAGTGTTGTCTGAACACCGACAGCTCTGATGTCTCAGTGTTACTTCATTAGGTGGCTCCAACAAAAGCTGTCTCTGATCCAGTTCAACACATCAAATGGGCCTGTGGTGTCGCACAAAAACCTGTGGAGGCATGTCCTGAAAAATCCAGAACAGTTATTTTAAAATCTACAAAATGAAGCTTTATTGCAGTAATAATCAGCTTTTTGTGGGATTTTAAAACAATCGTACACCTTAAAATAATTTTAATATTATAGGGTGCCTAAGCCACACCCATCTACTTCTGGATGGGTCAAATGCGGAGAACTAATTTCACACACCAGTGTGTGTGACAACTAATGGGACTTTAACTTTAACTTGACCACGAGTCCCCAGCTGCCCAAAAAAATATCTATTCACTCCTCCAGTCACGGGGGAATAAAACTTTAACATTTTTAGAGTTTTTCCACGAGGTATTCTTCAAGCTTCTTCGTGTCTGCCGCTAGATATCCTCAGCTCTCTTTATCGTTTGATTTCATCGGCAGCTCATCCTTTAATATAATTCTGCACATTTGCAATAAAAGCATATAAATTATTAAGCTTCTAAACAACTGAAAAGTGGTTAACAACACACTCCCGCAGCATTGTATCTCAGTGTACATCTGCTTCCTGTACCAAACAGCTCCCATTTAAACAGCTGTTGGCTATTACCAAGGTTGCTGGGGCAACCGTGCAATGGAAACTTCTTGGGAATTTCCATGTGGTAAAATATTCCTAATGGAATAATGCTGCGCTGGAGTTTCTCCTTTGTGATTTCCTACAAACTTCCATCTGACTGTGGCTCTTGATTGTGGAGAAACTTGAACAAGACTTAGAGACCTCACATATGGCCACAAGTGAAGAGTTATGAGAACTTTGCCTTCAGTCAGCACCATCCTGTAAGTTTCCCTCTGAAGTCTGAGTCAGGATACCCAACGAGTCCCCCTCCCCTAAAAGAGAAGTCTGCCTAAATATAGCCAGGACTCAGAGTGGAGCAAACAGGAGCGAAGATAAAGTCAATGAGGCAAAAAAATAAAAAATTTGAAAACAGATTTAATTGTGAGAATTGAAAAAAAAAAGCTGTGAATGAGGATACATTGAGATAAAAGGTCGATATGGATTTATTAGCACTTTAAAAACAACTACGCTACACCTGAGTGCTGCACGGCATAAAGTCAGGGTAATAATAATAAAATCACCAAGACACCAGAGCAAACATTATCCAAAGGTCCAGATTTTACAGCCCTGCACGTGCAACAGATACCGCTCAGCCCGACTCAATGCCTCCTGAAATATACGTGCTTACATCAGGAGAGCCAGATCACAGCCAAGGGAACCACCGACAGCTCCCTTCTAATCCTTTCCTGATCTAAGCTCACCAGCATTCCCGAAATTCAACCCAACCCATGAAGGAAAGGGTTTAAAGGTGTGGAACACTGAAAAAAACATTTTTACAATCTTATTTCTGATTATAATGGGTCACCTTTGAGTGCTTCATGAAGGCTGAACATGAAAACCGTCTCCTACGCCTATCTCCTGCAATAGCTTCTGATAGAAAATAGGATTCTAACTCAAGGATTGTAAGAGATCTACATCACGCTGTCGCTTAACGCTCATAAACTCACCCATCTTGACTCACGACGGGAAAGGCTGTTGTTGGTTTAGTGTCCAGGAAACAGCAGAGCATGTCTCAGCTAGAAGAAGCTAACTTTTAGCATTAGCAACTCCTCCACACAGCAGAACTTCTCAAGACTTGAGTTATTTGTGGAGAAAAAAAAAACATTCACATTTCAGAGCAAAACCGAGGCGAGATGTCCAAATATCAGGAAATAAGACTCCAAATCCTGCCGTCTGAAGCTCAGCTGTGATGTAGCTCACTTCTAGTTCCTGGAAATGGTGCACTGGTGTTTGTTCCTCTGATGCATTTTATGGTTCAAATACAAAATGATTACATAAAACAAACATCGAGAGGAGCCTGTTGAGGTGGCTCGGGCATCTGGTCAGGATGCCTCCTGGACGCCTCCCTGGTGAGGTTTTACGGGCACGTCAATCCAGGAGGAGACCTAAAGGTAGACCCAGGACACGGTGGAGGGACTATGTCTCTCACCTGGCCAGGGAACGCCTTGGGATTCCCCCGGAGGAGCTGCCCCAAGTGGCTGGGGAGAGGGAAGTCTGTGCCTCTCGCCTTAGGCTACTGCCCCCGCGACCCGACTCCGGATAAGCGGATGAAAATGGATGGATGGATGGATGGATGGATGGATGGATGGATGAAGCAAATGTACAAATACTAGCCAGCTTTACTTGCTGCAACTTTGAATTCATGACTCCACGGGGCAGATTAAAGTCAGGGCTGAGAGTCATGATGTTGCTGCTTTGGAGAAACATTTATTTCATCAAACGTCCTATTTTGTTGGGTTCTAGTTGTTTTCTTGGCTGAAGTGTGAGTTTTGTTTGTAGATAATAAGTACATCTAGAAATGCACCACCTTCTCACATGGCACCATCGCCAGAGAGCAGACCTCAAACACAAGGAGCATGACCCTTTAGCCGGTTAAGCATGAAATCTAATTATTCGTTAAAACTAAAAACAAGTAGGAGGGGAAGAAACAGAGCAAAGGATGACAAAAAAAGGAGGATAAAGATATGACTGAATAAAAACAAATGAAGTTTTGAACGCATGCATATACAATAAAAAACTATATCAAAAGTGAATAGAATTGTATGTTCTCTATTTAATTTCTTGCTTTGCTGTTTTCTCTCCATCTTTCCTGATCTCAGTGAGCTGGAAGGATGGCGCCAAGATCTCCGGAGAACGATCCCTGACATCAGATGTCGCTTTTCAGATTTGATGATGTTAATCAGCTGCCTTCGGGCAACAGAGCAGAGCAGAGAGATAAAAGACACATAGGGAGCCGGACAGGAAGAGTAGGGACACGAAACAGTGAGCAATGAGATAAACCGAGATAGAAAGGAGGGAGGTCTGAGGGGAGGGGGGGAAAGCACTCAAAGAGATTATCAATTTGTTTTGTCAGACTGTGCTGAATATTTTGGTTAAATTTCGTCTTTTAAAAAAATCGATTACATGAGGATGCGCAGCTCGCTGTGTGATTTTCATGCACAGAACCCACCGATCAATCCACTTAGTGCCCATGAAATATAGGGAGTGGGCAGGCCACTCTGCTAGTCTGACATCATCGCGCTTGGTCATTAGGCTAAGTGCCATGATGGCTCGCCATCTCTCCAGGACCAAACCTCAGGCTCCAGTTAAAAACCAAACCCTGATGTCTGACCGGGCTAAAACCTGTTGATGCAGGATGGATCCTGAACAGCGGTGCAACAAAATCCAAATCAGATCCAGATGTAAGAAGTTAATTACTGGTTATGTTCAGCATAATCAGTTTCACTGGTAAGCCGCTGGTCCAACTCAAAGATAGCGTTTTTGCAATCACATGAATTTCTCCAATCTGTACCAGTTTGTGGAAGATTTTACTTCCAGAAAGACATTTTAATAAATAAATAAATCAGATGACTACATTCTGCTACTTCATTGGGAAAAATCTTCCCAAAATCCGTGTTGGTAAATCAGAACAGACTGACAAACCTTTACAAAGGGAACACCTCTAATCCTGAAGTTTAATTTGTCTTCTTCAGACTACAGATGGATCATGGGCGACATCTATTCATCTAGCACCACAGATGTAGTGGTTGGGGAGTTAAAATTAGAAAGAGCCAGTGACACCCCATCCATACTGACACACCAGTTCATTACCCCAAAATGAACATCCTGCACAGCTAATGGATCATTTCCCCCTAAATTTGAAAATAAAATCTGAATTATTGCAATAAATAAAGTACACATGTCTAATTATAGCATCAATGACAACTGGAATAACTTGGCTGCACTTTAAATACTTGAAATGCATCATGTGAAACTATGAGGTGTGGATGCACAGAAAAGTTCAGGCACCAGAACTCCATGCCTCTTCCCAGGAGGATTCGTGTGAGAGCACGTCACACGTGACTCCCGCTTCAGACTGAAAATGACAGGACAATAGCTTCAAATTTCATGTTTCAAGCAGTTAAACTTGAATCCGACAGTGTGTGCAGTCGTTACAGATCTTTTCTGAGAGAAAAGCGAAACTTCATCTGGAACAAGAGCGAGAAACTCCCGCAGATCCGCGCTCAGGCTTGGGGAAGCCAACAGGCTGTTTGTTTTGGAGGCTGCTGTACTCACCTCTGGGGAGATGGGAAATTATTGGTGGAGGCAGACGAGACGGCTGATAAGAAGAGCAAAAGACAGAAAGAGTAATCCATAGCTTTGTTTAGATCCTTCTCTGCTGGACAGGACCGAGGCAGGGAGACGAGAAGAGTTACAGATCCACAGCAGCGCGCGCGCACTCCCTCAGCCTCACACCGCCATCGGTGCGCATTAGGAAACGAATCCGGTCCCGGTTACGTCCCCCCACTTCTCCACCCCGCCCACCGGTACAGTTAAAGTGTGTGTGTGTGTGTGTGTGTGTGTGTGTGTGTGTGTGTGTGTGTGTGTGTGTGTGTGTGACATGACACAATAATGATGCCTGAATTCCTTTTAGACTGTCTTGACATCTATGTTTGATCTCATTAGACTATTTATTATATTATATTTACGAGTTTGCAGCAACAAGACTTTAGTTTTTTTTATTTGTCTTTATTCTCAGAGTGAATGTATGGAAGCCCATTGGTACTTGGCGTTGAATCGCTTACAAATCATCACAAGAAAAAGTAGATATGTTTACAGATTGATTTAAGCTGCAATAAAAAAGTTGGAAAACAAAAAAGCTTCAAACACTTTTCATTTCATTAAAACAACATTCCAACATAGCTATACATATATTGGGATTTAACTCTTCCACTGTCTTATTGGTGGTCTCCTCACCCCTTCCACGTGGACCTCAAGAGATAAACCACCAGTCCTGCTCAATGGTCAACTTTTCTGGCGGGGTCACCCAATAAGACCACCAATAAGACAGTGGAAGGGTTAAAAAAATAAAAGAATTAATTAAGAGGTTTTTTCGTATTTGTCTAAAAACTCCACCAGTAATACGTTTTGGACTACTATTGGACGGTCTGTCTAACCAAACCGCCGCACTTCTCATGGGTCTTCCACTCATTACACACTCACGTATTTAGCAACAGAACACCACTGGTGTGAGAGGTTTGCACCAAAAAGGCCGTTTAAAACCAAGTATGACTTTGAAATCATGTCTAGAACCTTAAAAACTCGATGTCAGTTCTCTTTTTTCCCCGTGTCCTGTCTAGCTGTAAAGCAATCAGAATTTTTGTCTGAGCGCTGAAGACAAGCCGTTTTACTCTCACAGGTGGAGCATTCTAGATTCAGCTATAAAGGCCCGTCTGAAATAAAAACTTTATTAGAAATGCTTTTGGGTGTTTTAAATCCCATTGGACACCATCCATCCATCCATTTTCTGAACCCGCTTTGTCCATGCAGGGTCGCGGGGGGGGGGGGGGGGGGGGGGGGGTTCTTGGTGCCTATCTCCAGCGGTCAACGGGCAATCAGGCGGGGTACACCCTGGACAGAGAGCCAGTCCATCGCAGGGCACTCATTGGACACATAGATGGAAATGAAAGAGAAAGGGAGGAGGGGAAGGAAGAGGTGGGGTGGGGGGTTTCTTAAAAGTAAACAATGAAGGATGCACCAGAGAAAGAGAGAGAGAGAGAGAGAGAGAGAGAGATTACTGTGTCAAAAACTTGAGGATGTAGAACAGTAATACATTTTAGTGCATTTAGTGCCAACCCCATCCCTATGTTATGTGTCAAAAATGCCCAAGACCATACTTGTGAGAGCACCATGTGAGAACCTGTGTGTGAACACTAGGGGTTGCATGGCTTAATTTTTTTTAAAGTTGGCAGTCAAGTAATGAAAATCGAGTTGACTTTGACTAGTCATTGATGACGTCACACACCTGAAGCGGCTAAAACTGATGAGGCAGGGTTTTTTTTCCAAGGGGGGGGGGGTTCATTGGACTTTTTGACAATTAAAATTGCGCCCACATTTTCAAAGTTAAACATTTCTTTTAACAACGTTCGTTTCTGCATCTTTATGTCCCCCTGCTTCCGTGCTTCAGCCCCCCCCCCCCCCCAACCCCAACCCCCCTTCGCTACGGCCTCAAACTCACTGGTGTTCCTGCAGCCTCTCAGAGTTGCTGCTGATCTAAACATTAAAATAATTATTTCATTTTCTGTTCCTCACTTGTGATTACCTTCAGTGGTGTCTGTTTGTTGCACCCAACAGGTACAAAAGCGAACTTGTTTTTATTTGACTTTTTCTGTCCTTTCTGTTTATTATCTTCCTGCATCTCCTCTCAATCCTAAAGAAAAACTGCTACCTGGCTTCATATTTATTCACCTTATGAGTTACCTTTGAACTGCGGTTCTAAAAGATCTACCGACCGCAAAAACAGCGGAGTGGGTGCTGTGCGCCGGCTGCACCGATGAGGTGAACCAGAGGACAAAACAGGTGATGCGCTCCGCTCCACAGCAGCGAAACGTATCAGGCAAAAACAGAAGACAGAAAACATAAAAGGAAATGAGCCGACACAAACGATCGCGTGTTAAATTTGTTTTTGAGGTGGCGACACTTTGATAATGTTACTGTGGCCATGCTCAGGATGCAGATGTCTGGAGCGCGTCAACGATCAGAGCTTTGCATGTGCAAGCTGGTTAAGGTTAGGATGGGGTGAGGGGAAGGTTAATTTGCAAAAGGGTAAAGGTCACAATTCTGTCAAAGGTCCGTTTTACCACAGGCGCCAGATACCGACACTCTGGCACAGCGCGCCGCCTCCCAACGCGCAGGGGCTCGTCACCTGCTGTCTTTTCCGAGGACTGCATCTTGTCGGTCATTATCATGTGATAGAGACTAGTCTATGGAAGGCATAAAAAGTCTCTACAGAGCAGTGAAGTAGACTAGTTGACTAGTCGACTAGTTGATACAACCTCTAATGTACACATGCTTGTGCATGTAAGGTTTCTCTATAGGAGTGCTCTATAGTGAGTATTGAGGGGTCACAGACCTGCCCCCAAAGACTCACAGAAGATGGAGGAGATCTAAGCTCAAGAAAACCAGGGGTGTTTCTCAATGTCAAGGCACCTTGCCTTGCGAGGTGATGTCTTGCGAGGCCAGGTGCCTTACTTAGGAGGACACTGTCCTTCCTTGGTAGAAGAAAATGGTTAAATGGAACGGATTTACATCACGTGACCAAGCATTCCACAGCGGTCACGTGACAAGGGAGATAACGTTATATTTTATACATATTAGTTTCAATATAAATATATAAGGAGACCTTTACTTTTTAAATTGTGTTTAAATTTGTTAAATTAAATATATAAGTGAGTTACTACCTGTAACTCACTTATATTGCACCGAAGCTGCAACTAATAAACAACCAACCAACCATAGATAACTTCTTTGGATCTAAAAAAATACATTTAAAATTAGTTGACTTACTCTTAAACTTGAAATTTGCCTCCAAAGTAGCTGCCAGCTTCTGATCCCTTTGATAATACCGCAATGTATTATGGGTAATTTTTGACCAAGGCTAGGCTACAAGACATATCCCATGTATACTTGCTCAGCTAGCTAAACGGCTAACAGACAGAGAACGCACGCCTCGGTAGAACATGAACATTGGAACACGTCTTGGCGGCTCCTGATGACATATCTCCTAGGCAACCGGGGCGGGGCCAAGACATCAAGGCTAGTTTCCTTGGCATTGAGAAACACCCCAGAGGCCTCCCCTGGACCATGGAGACCCCAGGGAGACTGCCGCTGGAGCAGCCCCCACACCCCACAACCCCTCCCAAGAGGTGCAAAGGACCACCTGGGGGGGGGGGGGGGGGGGGGGGGGGGGGGGGTTACCAGCAGCCATGCCAGAGGCCCAGGAGACAATGATGGCAAGCCCTCAGACCCGCTAGCAGCTGCCCACTCCAGGGCAGGCCGAGCTCAGAACTCAGCGACCCGGGACCCAAGGGCACCCGACCTCGACAGTGACCCGACAGAGCCCAGGAGCCCGGACCCCACGGGCAGCCATCAGGAGGGAGTCAATGTCAGTTGTACATTTTATTCTACTGCACCCATATTTTTGTCTGTTTGTCTCTGGCTGCAGACATTTTTTTTCACACCCTTTGTCTTGTGTCTGCCCAGTCCCTTCCATACCCCCTCGCTCCTATTGTGCTTCCCCTTTAGCCTCCTCCCAGCCACTCCTCAGTCCCCGGTCCTTCACGGACATACCCTTTCTCAGATTTGATCTTATTTGTTGGATTGAATTGTGTGCTTTGCTCTTTACATTATTCCCTGATAATGTTTGAGGTTATTTATCCTAGCAGTTTAGATGACGTTAGTCATGTTTTTTGTTTTATTGTGTTCTGCTCTCCATAATTTAGCCTTGTGTTAAATTTTTCCCTCAGGGTTCAGTTCATCCACTAGCATCTTGTTTTGTTTGATCTTGTGTTATTAGCTCTCCTCCTGTTGTCTCCGTCCATAGTTAATTACTCTCACCTGCCCTTCATTGTAATCAGTCATCAGCACACCTGTTCCCTTTGTCTCCACTGACCTCCATCTTATTTAAATCCAGCCCCATCACAGAACCTTACCTGGCTGCTTCCCGGATCGTCTTCTCACCTTGTTGTGTTTGGGTCCTACCTCAGCAGCAAAACATGACACATTTTAAATTGCTATATTTCAAAAAAGACAATTAAAACCGGGTTTTAAGCCTCTTCTAAGCCTAAATGATTCGTTTATGAAGGCTTTCCTCAGTTGTTTAAAAGGTATTTTTTTTACTTTATTGTTCACAGCAAGATTTATGAGCAATGAACTAAATTTTATTTAATGTTATATGAATTAGATGCAATAAGAGCTAATGTATTGTAAGGTAATAATCATAAATTATGGCCTTAATGTTAAGACAGCAAGGATGTAAGATATATTCACATCCACACATTTAAGAATATTTCTAGATTACTATTTTCTTATTGGTTTATTTCATGTTTTCATAGATAAAGGAGCTAAACTCCAATCTACCAACTGGATGACCTTCAGGTACAGGGAAAAGGGAAATCTGCATTAGCATAAGTCACATTTGATCACTGCAGACAGTCACTAGGATATTATTTCTTTCTGTTTCTGAATGTTCTTATGTAAGTGTAAGACGGGAAGTACCACATGTAGTTTTTCATTTTAACATGATCAGAAATGGGAAAGTTGGTTGAAGATCAAATGAAAAATGTGTTCAATTTCAAACTATTATCAGAACACAACAAATAGTCAAACTGGCTGTAAACCCTTAAGTCATTTTAATTTCTACTAAGCATGACTGGTGTCATGTGAAAAATCAAACACCCTGTAAGTATTTACACCAAGAGATATGAAGAGCCAAATCTGGC